CCCGGTGAACCCCCCCAGCCTGGCTCCATCCCACGTGGAATCGTTTGGGTGGGGAGTGGGAAGAGGTGCCACCCGGCGTGGGCTCTGACAGGGCACAGAGAAATTCACCATTAATTTGCTTTAAATCAGCCTGCTCTGCTAATTAGCCCTGGCTCCTCTGGGCACAGCCCGAGTCACCCAGACGCGAGGAGGCTTCAGCCTCTCCCAAAAAAAGCACAAAAAACGAAAAAAAAAAAAAAAAAAAAAAAAGGGAAAAAAAGCCTGGAAAAGTGGCGGCGCGCGCGGCTTCGGTGTCTCCATGGCAACGGGAGATCGCGGCCAGGGATGCGAGACATTCCCGGGAAAACGGGACGGGTGGCGGTGCCGGAGGGCTCGTCCTCCTCCCCCGGGGCAGAGCCTTGGGATGAGAAACGCGGGGAGAGGTCCCACCCCACGCGCGTGGGGAGGGGGACGCGGATCCAGCCGCTGCCGCTCGTGTTTCCAGGGAAATCTGAGCTCGCCGCGATCAGAGCCTGTCGGGGGCGTGGGGAGGGGTTGGATCTCAGATCCTTTCCCAGAGCAAACCTTCCCAGGGCGGGGGGAAAGGATTCCCTCAAAATCCCAGCGGGTTTTCAGTGGATTTCGGGAAAATGCTTCCCTGAAGTTAAAAAAAGGGGGATATTTTTTGGAAGTGGTTCCAGTTGGAAATACATGCAAATCCCATCAAACAGCTTGCTGTTCCCAATTAGCAGCCTCGCAGCAGCAGAGGGGGAAGGAATTCCAGCGGGTTTGGAAAGCCCCTCACCTGGGAGCATCAGCACTGACATCAAGGAGGACACAAAATCCATGGATTCCTCTCTGATCCCCTGCTGAGGGTTGGTTGGAAAACCAAAACCGACTTGGAAGTGGCTTGGCTGTGAAGGGATAAGGGGGATGTGCTGGATCCTGCCTCCCTGGGGCATTCCCAGCCTCTTCCAGAGACATCCCTGAGAGCTTTCCTGAGGCTTTGTGGTTTCAGGGAGCATCAGCACCTTCCAAAGCTTGGAATTCCCAGAGCTTGGCCCTGACATCATTCCCACCCATCCCTTGGTGGAATCAGGGAATGGGTTGTGTGGGAAGGACCTTAAAGCTCGTCCAGGTCCAGCTCCTGCCATGGGACACTTCCCACTTTCCCAGGGTGTTCCAGCCTGGCCTGGGACACTCCCAGGGATGGGGCAGCCACAATTTCTCTGTGCCAGGAAGAGCCTCTCAAAGTGGAATTTCCTCCCTGGGCTTTCTGGGAAAGCGTAGGGGGGGAAAAAATGTTCTTAAAGCATTTGCCTTAATTAAGCTCTTTTTTAAAAATATATATATATATATATATTTGGAGGGACAGTCACAGCCAGAAGAATCCACACATTCCCCAGCAACTCATCATCCCTCCAACCAGCCTGACTAAGCCCCCAGTGCTCCCAGCAGCTCCCAGGGAGAGCTCCCAGCACTTGGAGCTGGGAGGGAAATGATCCTGGACTGGTTCCTAACCCAAAAAAAAACCCCCACAAACCATCTCAGAGGGTTTGGCTGATGATTTGGAACACCTTGAGAAGCAGCTGCTGTTCCAGGGAGCTGTTCCCGGGCCAGGCAGGGCCCTGGGATGAACCAGAGCTCATTCAGAAAACACCTCCCCCACTTTGTGAATCGTTCCTGAAGGAGGGCTTGGCACCCACATTCCCTGGAGCTGGAGCTTGGCAGGGAAAATTCCGCCTGCCGAGGGCTGGGAAGGAGCAACCCCCGTGCCAGGAAAGGCCAGGGAGGAGGATTTCAGCTGGAATTCCCTAAGGAATGGCTTTCAGGAGCAGAGTGCAGGGAGGGATCACTTGAGCCCTCCATCCAGAGCCCATTCCAGCCAAATCAGGAGGGAAAAACTGGGAAATGGCTGAAGAGGATCCTCGGGGAAGGGTTTGGTGGGCAAAGCTCTGTTCCAGTTCCCACAGAACAAGGGTGGGGGTGAAGCCCTGAGCGCTTGGGGGGCACAAGGGGGGGAAGGTCCCTCCTTCCCAGTGGGAAATCTCATGGAATTCCAGCCTGGTTTGGGTGGAAAGGACCTTAAAGCCCATCCAGTTCCACCCCTTCCACCTCAAAAAACCTCGGCACCTTCCTCTGATTTCCCTCCCAGGCCCCATTCCAGCCTCAAATCCCAAAGGATTTTGCCTCGGGCTCTTCCCCACATTCCAGACTCTCCCTTCCAGCTCCTGAAGGGGGATGAGAAAAAAGAGGGAAAATCTCTCCCCCTGGTTTAAAGGGAAAAGCAGGTGGAGGCAAAGCAAGGCCCCCTCATCCAGGTGGATCCCACAGAGCTGGGAGACGCCCCCGGAATGTCAGAGCAGCTCCTGGAGCAGCTTCCAGTGCTGGGAAGAGCAGTGAGTCACCATTCCCATGGCAACTCTGCTTCCCTGGGAGACATCCCGGCATTGGGAGCCACCAGCGAGGGCCACCAGCACCTGGAAAACAGGTTGGAGCAGCCTGGGATGGTGGGAGTTGTCCCTGCCCACGGTGGTTGGGGGTGGGAAACAGGATGGTCTTCAAGGTCCTTCCCACCCCCAAATCATTCCATGATTCCCTGGACAGGCACAGTTTGAAGGATTTGGGGGTTGGGGAGGTTCCAAACACCTCTTGTTTGATTCCTGGGCTCGGCTCAGCCTCTGCTCCTGCAGTCTGTGCCGTTAAATCCATCTCCTGGTGGATGGCAGCGGGAATTGGGGGTTGGAATCCTCGGGAAGAGCCGTAAATTGTGCGTTCCCGGATTGTGCAGCCAGGGCAGGTTTTTCCTGACAGGAACAGCTGAACTGAGGGGTTTTGGAGGGAGGTCAAGGGGAGGGAAGGTGGTCCATGGGATGCTCCAAAGGAGTCCAGGAGTCACCAGCCCTGGCTTGGGAAGCAAGACTGGAGCTACCTGAGTGCCCCAGGGTGTCTTTGGAGCTGGATTCCTGGATCTCCTCCAGTTTTCCTGCTGGGATTCACCCCCTGGGAAAGGCAGAGAGCTCAGGTGAACCCCTCTCTTCCCAGATTTAGATTCAGATTCGGATTCAGACCCTGGATTTTGGGGTGGGAAATGCTCCTCCTCCTGCCACGGGAACCCCGCACGAGCCGCTTGCCGAGCCGCCCGAATCCATGGAAAAACCTTTCCAAGCGCAGATCCCCGAGGATGCCAAGAGCTCCAGCTGTGTGTGGGCTGGCTCTGGGCACAACCAGCCAGGGCTGGCAGCGGCAGCAGCTCCTCTCCCTCCAGCAGGCGCATCCCGGGGTTTCTCAGGAGCAGCAATTCCCAGCGGGAATCTTCGGGGCAGGGAGGGGAAGTGGGAAAACCACCGGCAGGCTTCGTTCGCAGCCTTTTAGCAGCTGCTTCTCACGGAGAGTTCGCTCCTCCTCCCCTTCCCGCCTGCCCCGAGCTCCTCCTGCATCCAGGTATCCCTGAATCCCACTCCTCCTGCATCCAGGTATCCCTGAATCCCACTCCACGTCCGCATCCTCAGCAAGGAAAAACACCAGGGTGGCAGCACAGGCGGGGGTGGGAATGTTGGTGGGATGGGAAAACACGTGGAGGAGTCTCCTCAAGTTGCCCCAGGGGGAGGTTTAGGTTGGGTATCAGGGGAAGGTTTGTCCATGGAAAGGATTGTCCAGCCCTGGGAAAAGAGCTGTGATTCCATGGAATCTCCATGAGAGCCGTGCTGGAGAGGCTGGGGAAGAGCCTGGCAGGGAGGGATGGAGCCTGGCAGGTGGTCAAATCATCCAAGAGGGGAATTGTGGGGTTGACTGGGAGGTGTCACAGCGATCCCAAGGCAGCAGGGACCACCCCCCTCCCACCCCCAGCCTGCCCTGGGGGGGCCACCAAAACACCCGGCGGGGCAACCAGACACTCAGAAGGACCTGCTGGTGGATTTGTTACCCTCCCAAAAGCTGCTTGAGGTTCCCACGCCCCCCCCGGGGCTGGGAGAGGATCCCACTTCTCCAAGGAACCGCTCTGGACACTCAGGAGAGAAGGAAGGACTGGCCACTGGTTGTCTTTAATCAGAATGTCAAGGCAAGGCAGGGCTGTCCTGCCCCACCCCGGGCTGTGTTGGCAACTGCTCCTGCTCCTCCTCACCTTCCCACTCCCGGCATTCCACCTGCTCCTCACCTTCCCACTGCCCTGACATTCCATCTCCTCACCTTCCCACTCCTGGCATTCCACCTGCTCCCTCATTTCCCACTCCTGACACTCCATCTCCTGCTCATCTTCCCACTCCTCTGACACTTCCACCTGCTCCCTCACTTTCCCACTCCTCACTCCATCTGCCCCCTCACCTTCCCATTCCTGAACATTCCACTTGCTCCATCCTCACCTTCCCACTCCTGTGACATTCCATCTGCTCCCTCATCTTCCCACTCCTGACACTCCACCTGCTCCTCACTTTCCCACTGCTCACTCCACCTGCTCTCCCTCCTCCCCAATCCCACTTTTCCCACCCCCCCTACTCCTCCTCCTCCTCCCCACCCCAACATCCCAACAACACTGGGGTGGCACCAAGGACACGAAAAACAGACCAGACATCGCCCCCCAGTCCCCATTCCCGACCTTCCTTGGCGCTCCCAACAAATCCAGCCTTGACTCCATGTGCAAAGTCCTGCTTGTATTTGGCTCGGTAAAGTGCAAGGCAGGGCCACAAGGCCTGGTGGTGGAGCTGGGACAGGAGATGTTGTGTCAGCTGAGAGCAAAAAAAACCCAAACACACGAGGCCACCAGAGTGGGGAATGACAGCTGGGAATGGCTCCCCCCTCATTCCCACCTCGCTGGAATCCTGGGAGACCCTCAGGACCCTCCTCCAGGCACGATGAAAGAAGGACCAAGCCGTGTCTCGGAGGTCGAGCTCTATAAACCCTCGGGCACAGCAAAGCAGGGAGGGCACCCCAGCCCAGCTCCCTGGGGGGGATTTGGGAGCACGAGGAGCTTGTTCTCCCAAAAATCCACCCTAAAAAATCCCCCCAGCCTGGCTTTCCCCCCACCCCCACAGTCCGGCAGGCTGGGGCGAGCTCGGAGCTCCAGAGGTTTGGGAAGGGCCCTGGAAGCGGCTGATTCCTCACAGGACCTGCTCGGTGCTGGACGAGGAGATGTCCAGGAGCCTCCAGGCCGCGTAGGGGTTGAGCTCGTCCTGGTCCCGGCACAGGGCCCACACGTAGAGCATCCGCAGCACCTTGTCCTGCAAGGAAAAATCCGGGATAACGGGGGGGGCATTGCTGAGGGAGATGGGGGGGATCAGCCTGGAGAAAAAAGGCTTCCCAACTCCCAATTCACAGCTCTGAGGGGAAAGGATCCTCATTTCTGATGGATCTGAAGGGGCTCCCAATTCCCAGTTTGGGGGGAAAGGATCCACATTTCTGATGGATCTGAGGGACCTGGGGGGGCTCAGCCTGGAGAAAAGGGACTCCCATTTTCCATTTCTGAGGGGAAAAGTTCCATATTTCTGATGGATCTGAGGGGGCTCCCAATTCCCAGTTCCCAGTTTAGAGGAAAAGGGTTCTCAGTTCTGATGGATCTGAGGGGGCTCAGCCTGGAGGAAAGGGGCTCCCATCTCCCAGTTTGGGGGGACAGGATCCTCATTTCTGATGGATCTGAGGGAGATGGGGGGGATCAGCCTGGAGGAAAGGGGCTCCCATCTCCCAGTTTGGGGGGACAGGATCCTCATTTCTGATGGATCTGAGGGAGATGGGGGGATCAGCCTGGAGGAAAGGGGCTCCCAACTCCCAGTTCCCAGTTTGGGGGGACAGGATCCTCATTTCTGATGGATCTGAGGGAGATGGGGGGGATCAGCCTGGAGGAAAGGGGCTCCCAGCTCCCAGTTCCCAGTTTGGGGGGCTGTGGCACTTGGGGACGTGGATCAGCGGTGAAAATGGTGACGGTTGGACTGACGACCCCAAAGCTCCTTTTTAACCTTAACAATTCCAGGATTCTGCTCCCCCAGGGACTGTTCCTGTGATTTTCCCCTCTGCTCCCAATTTCCCCCCCACTTGGAACTTCATCCCAGGCAGGAAAACAAGATCAAACTCGCCGATTTGCCAAAATTAGAAGGCGGTTTCCCAAACATCCCTGGCTGACACACATTTAGGAGGCACCACTGTCAACCTGGATAAGACTTGACCTTGTTTGTCTGTTTGTTTGTTTGTTTTGTTGGGGTTTTTTTTGAGCAGAAATTTCTGAATTTTTCAGAATTGCCTGGGCTGGAACTTTCCATCAAATTTAGGAGCTTTCCTGTGGCTGCAGCTCCTTCCCCTGGGGGCTCCTCTTGCCCTAAAACACTCTTTTTCCTTCAGGGCAAACCCCAAATCTCAATTTCCACCCCCCCCTCCAGAGGCTGCCACTGGATTATAAAGCTCCATTTCGGTTTCCAGGGCAGGCTTTTCATGCATCTCCTTGATTTATTGCTGCCCCCCCAGGAACCAGACAGCCAACAGGCTTCTGATATCCTGTCCAATAATTATCCCATCAATATCCATCTCCCAAGGAAGGCAGGAATTTAATGCAAGGAATCCCAGGATCAGCTGTTCCTCCCCTGTAGCCCCGAGTGACAGGTTGTAAATCAGCCCCAGATGGGCCCCCAGAATTCAAATTAATCCCTTTTTTTTTTTTTTTTTTTTGCCAACTTCCAGCCTGGCCTAAAGATAAGGGTTGCAAAAAAACCCCCTAATATTTATTAATATAAATTATTTCTATATTAAATGCAGGTTGACATCACTCCAGCCCAACCCCAAACCAAGGAAGTACCAGGGATTTGCTCCACAAATCATTCCCTGTCAGAGGCTCCCCCAGGAACCACATCCCAAGTGGATGGGCAGGAATTTTATGGAATTTCATGGAATAAGGGGCTTGTGGGGCTTTTTTTTTTTTTTTTTTTTTGGGTGGTTAAATGAGGGGAGGCAGCAGCCTTGTTATTAATTTTATTATGGAGTGATTTTGAGTGATGATTTTAATGGAGTGATATCCCTAGCAACTGCAAATCACCTCAATCCAACCCCCTGCTCAGGAAAGGATCTTCCAGGGCTTTTTAGGAAGGGAAAAAAGGAGGGAAAAAGAGCAGGATGAGGTGGAGGAGAGAGGCCAGAGCTGTCCCAAAACCTCACTCACCGGATCTCCTTCCACCACCTCCCCTTTGTGGTTCTTTATCACCATCACCACCTGAGCCTGGAAGGTGATGATTAAAACTGGTCCCTGCTCCATCATCTTGCCCATGGCCAGCTGCAAGGAGAGGGAATTCCATCAGAAAACCAGCAAGTTCCACAGAAAACCCAGAAAATCCCAGCACAAAACAAGGTAATTCCGTCAGAAAACCAGTAAATTCCATCAAAAAACCCAGAAAATTCCATCAGAAAACCAGCAAGTTCCCTCAGAAAACCAACAAATTCCCTCAGAAAACCAGCAAATTCCGTCAGAGAACAAGAAAATTCCATCAGAAATGCAGCAAATTCCCTCAGAAAACCAGCAAATTCCTGCAGATCACTGAAGGAACATTCAGTTGGACATTCCCGACATTCCCACCCTCTCCCAGGGCCGATCCAGTTCTTTCAATCAGCTCCTCTGTTAATCAGATATTCTATCTGATATAATATCCTGAGGGGGAAGGGACCCCCAAGGCTTTTCTCCTGCTTTTAAAGGAATTTTTGCCCTCAAGTCTCACCGGATCGGACAAAAAGCACCAGAAAGATTTCCAAGTGGGAATCTTTTGTTTGCCAGGATTTTTTTTCCCCCCCTTCTCTATTCTAAGGTCACTCCATTAAATATTTGAAGAACTTATTAACTGCCACACACACAGGAATGGAGAATTAAGGTTATTTTTTTATAATTTTTTTTTCATCCCCAGAGCTCTTAAAAAAGCAGAACCCCCTCTTAGTGTTTTTGTGGGAACGCAGGGAGCTGTGGAATATTTTGAACTTCCAAAATAATAAAAAAAACCCAAATCCTACTGAAGGCAGAGGCACTTTTGCTCTTTAAAATGAGAGGCAGTCCCAAAAATCACCGTGTTTTATCCCATAACAAAGGGAGCAGCACAGGAGACAGGCACAAAGGCATAAAAATATATATATTTGGAGGTAGATTTTCCTCTCCCCCGAGGAACACTCAGCACCACTGCAACGTTCCTGTGCCCACTTCCAAGGAATCAGCTCCCAGCTCGGCAGGAACTCCACACCACGTGCCTGGAGCTGCCCCTGACTCATCCACCCAAACACAACCCAGTTTTCCGCCCGAAATCCGGATCCCAAAAGGGATCAGAGCCGTTTCCAGCACGGATATTTGCAATTTCCAAAATTCCAGACTGGGATTGCTGTGTTTTCAGTGCCATGATCCCTGAAAATTCCATCACTAGGACAGTATTTGGAGCTTAAAAAAAAAAAGCTTCATTAAATGCCAGAATGTTCTGGAGCAGGAACAGCTCTGGCTCCTCAGGAAAACGGGATGTGGGAACACCTGGATGGAGCAGATCCTTGGCCACGTCACCACATGGAATACTTTGGGTTGGAAGAGGAATTGGGGATCAGCCACTCCTACCCCCACATCTCCCACTATCCCAGGTTGTTCCAACCTGCCCTTGGACACTTCTGGTGCCTCCTCCAACACCTCCAACACCTCCATGTCCTTCCCATGCCGGGATCCCAGAGATCCCAAATCCCAGCGGCGCCCTGAGGGAGCCACACAGCCCATCCAGAACCATCCAGAACGTTCCAGAAGAGCAGCTCAGACTCTCTCCAGCCATTCCTGCCCTGCACAACCTTGAGCCAGGGCAGGAATGCCCATTATCCTCCCTGAATCCCCTGGGAATGTGCTGTTTGCTTTTAGGATTAGCCTTCCTCCATCCATCTGCTGCTGATCCAAGCCAAGGTGTCCTGAGAGCAAGGACACAGATTTGGGCTGGATCCCACAATTCCAGGAGTTTTCACTTCCAGCAGTAGGATTCTCCCTTTCAGAGTGGGATTCTCCCTCCCAGAAATGGAATTCTCCCTTCTAGAGTGGGATTCTCCCTCCCAGCAGTGGAATTTTCCCTTCCAGAAATGGGATTCTCCCTTCCAGCCCCAGGATCTGTCCCTGTGGGAGCAAAGATTCCCAACACCAGAGGCAAAACCCAACCAGTTAAAGCAAAAACTCTTTGGATTCGATGATCCTGGAGGTGTTTTCCCAAACCTTAACAATTCCAAGAAAACCCCTCCTGAGTGGAACTCGGTGCCCCCAAAGCGAAACCCCAGGAGACACTCACGTCGATGTTGTCGATGTCCAGGATCCTGGAATGGAACTGGAGCCCCAAGGCTTTGGCCTGTTGGATGGGATGAGCCAGCTGGCTGTAAGTCTGGGAAGCAACAAAAAACCCCTTCCTGTCACACCTTTGAAATCATCCTGACCACCCCCAAAAAAACCAGGAATTTCCATGCAGAGAGAAGCAGTGAAAGGGATGTGCTGGGATATTCCAGTGGGATTGTTGGGATTGCTCCTGGGATATCAGGACTCTCTCTTTTTTTGGGGCAGCTCAGGCGTCCCTGCAGCTTCCCAGCCCGTTTTTGGGATCTCCTAAAGCCCTGAGTAATTTTGGGAACGTGCTGGATGGGTGCTTGGCGTCCAAAAGCTGCACCAGACACTCCGGGGTTCCCCAAAATTCCCCTCCAAATCCCATTTTCCCCAGCCTGGAATGTGTGGATACCGAATGTCCCAAGCCAAGGCATTCCCAATGCTGTGCTGACAGCAGACAGGGATAAACAGGGATAAAGTCTGGGATCAGGGCTGTTTTCCCAATTCCCAGGCAGCCCTGGAGGCAGCCCAGCATTCCCTGGCTCCTCCAGGGCGCAGATGGGATGGTTATTTACGGATCAGAACCCTCGGGGATGGCGACTTCTCCACCTGATTCCAGCGATTCCCGGAGCATTCCTGGCAGGATCCAACCAAACAGCATCTCCCACCCTTCCCCAGCAGGGAAACATCCCACAGGAATTCCAGGCAGAGTCCCTGGATTGGAGCCACGGAGCAGGAATTCCGAGGGGCGGCGAATCCCAAACCATCCCGGTTTTTATCCCAACACTTTAATGATCCCATCCCAAACTTAAGCCCCCGGTGGGGATGACTCCATGAAGAGGTTTTATCTCCACAAATATTTGGAATATTCTCCCATTTCTTCCCCTGGCTGGTTCTGGACTTCAGAGCTGGAATTTCTAATTACAACCAGAATTTCTAATTACAATCCAGAAATGTTGGATTTTTGGTGGTAGAAAGTGCCAAGGAATCGGCTGTTTTTCCCAGAGGGATCCTCTGCTGGCATTTCTGAGCCAAAAAAAGGAAATTTTTTTTTTTATTTTATTTTTTTGCTTTCAGGATGCTGGAAATCTCCACAAAATCGGGACAAAGACGTTCCTGGGAATAGATTTAACGGGAAAAAACTGCCTCCGCAGGCCCTCTGGTGGTGGGGACACGGAGGAGACTCACCCTGGGAAATTCAGCCTTTTGGGGCCTAAAATCCACTTATTTTGGGGCTTAAGACACTATTATTTTGTATTCTACATCCCAATGATTTTGGATTTTAAACACAATTATTTTGGAGTCTAAAACACAATTATTTGGGATTCTACAGCCCAATTACTTTGAATTCTACATCCCAATCAGTTTGGATTTTAAACACAATTATTTTGGACTCTACATCCCAATCATTTTGGAGGAGGTGGGCGGGGGGGGGACCCAGAACAAACTCCATTTTCAGGCAAGGCTCTGATTCCATGGAGCCAAACAATCCCCCTTCTCAGCCTCTTCCCCAGGATAACCAGGCCTAATAATAATCCCACTTCCAAAGGGAGATTCCCACCCTTTGCCAGGCCATTCCCAAGGGCTCCACTCACCGCCTCGTAGCACCAATCTTTGAGGATCTCGAGCTCCCCGGAGATCAGAGCCTGGGAAAAGGGAATAAAACAGGGATATTCTAACACACCTCCCGCAGCAGGGTGGAAACAACCAGCAATTCCAGCAGCACAGCTCCTTAAATCCCGAATTTTGTGGAGCTTGCAAGAGGAACAGCAACAAGGACTTGCAGAAACCCCCCTGATCCAACGCACAGAAAGCTCCTAAACCTTCCTGGGGGGACTTTCCCCTTGAACTTCCCTGTTCAAACTTCCCAAAAAGTTGACAGAATTCCCACTCCTCGGAGAATCCTGAGGGGTGGGATCAGACAGAAGCAGGAAGATCAAACTTGGGAAGTTTTCAGCCCAGTTGGGATCCGGTTTTATTCCCCAAATCAGTTTTCGAATCCCCTTTTCCCTCTGGATTTCCTGCCTCGGTGCAGTGACAGGGAAGCAAATCCATTCAGATTCCCTGTCCCATCATCAGTGCTGCTCTGAGTCCCTAAAAACACCCAATTCCACACAATTCCAGTGCCAGAAATATTCCCACTGAACCTGCTCTTCTCCCTGAGTCCCAGATCCTTTAGAACCCGCTGGCAACACCCCAAATTCCTTCCCTTATCCATTTTTTATTACCCCCCCCTTCCCTTTGATCCCTCTGATCCCACATAATTTCTCGGGGCAGAGGATGATTGGGTGTTTTCCAGGCCAGAAAAGGAGCTTATTAATCTTTTAAATAATGAAATACAAAACCTAAATGGGCTCCAACTTCCTTTCCCAAGGTTCTGGGTGTCTGAGGAGCAAATCCTGTCCCAGCTTTTCACTGGATCAATGGAAAAACAAAAGGAATCAAATAAAAAATGATCCTTTAAAAGGGAAAATAAATGCAGGGGATGTTTCTCCTCTCACCTCCAGGACGTTGGGGATGATGTCCCGCTCACACTGCTTCAGGAAACGATCCTTGTCAAAGGAGGGATCCACCTTGAGGATCTCCGTCAACACCTCCGACATCTCCGTCTTGGAGAACAATCCACCTGGGAAAACAAGCCAGTGGCACAAAAACCATCCCCAGGGGGGGAAAGAAGACACAAAATCATCCCCAGGGGGGGAAACAAGGCAAGACCTCCTGGTGATGCAGCAGAGGGAGGAACAACTCCAGGTTTTTAGTTAAGCCTGAGATTCATCCCACACGAGGTCTCGTCATCTCAGATCCCACCGCTCCACTGTGTGATCCCAGAGAATGATCCAGGTAAAATGCAGGAAAAACGCTGGGAAGCTCCAAGAGCTGCCCCGAAAAGCTGGGAAATAGCCCAGTGAGGAGCAGAGGGGGAGCTGTTACCTATCAAGTCGGTGACTTTGTCGGTGACGGCCCGCGACGCTCGGATGAAGGCGTTGTCGCTCTCGTCGTACTTCATCTTCATCTCAAAGAACCCTGCCAGGAGAGCAGAGCGAGCTCAGAGCCCATCCTGATCCAGGAAAACTGCCAGGGCTTGGAAATCCAAGCTCCCAGTTCCCTCCTAAATCTCCTGGTTGGCGACAGGCACCGACTGCAAGTGGTTTTTCCCTCGTCCTCCTTCCCAGCTGTCGGTAAATGCTCCTCTCTCGCTTCAACCTCCACAAACCTTGGAGCTTCTGGGAGATTTGCAGGCAGAGAACACACCAGGAAACTGCCCTGCACCAGGAACAGCCTGACTAAACCAGGAACAGGCTCACAACCCTCAATTCATCTCCTGCAAGGAGATGTCAAACCAACACCAGGGCACAGGGGAGGAAAATCAGAAGGACAGACTTTAAATCTTGCCTGACTTTTACGAATGGTTTGGGTTGGAAGGGACATTAAAGCCCACCCAGATTCACCTTCCACTATCCCAGTTTGTTCCAACCTGGCCTTGGACACTTCCAGGGATGGGCAATCTGTGCCAGGGCCTCCCCACCCTCTGGATTTACAGGGATTTTCCTCAGCTCCAGGTGAGGAGGAGCAGATCTGCTGCCCTCTCCTGCCCTCTCCCTGCCCTTTTCCCAGAGCCACCATGAGGCTGATCAGGGAAAAACAGGGAGGGGAGGAGCTCATTTCTTGTTGCAAGGCAGGTTTTGGTACCTCCAGGCACTGATCCAAACCGTGCCTGAGTGGAGGAGGGGCTGGAACACACGCAGATGGAGCAGCCTGGAAAAGCTGCAGAGCTATCAACTCTCCCCCATTCACACCCAGCCACCAGCTCCAAGCCCACAGGAAGGCTGGGATTTTGGGATCTGCATTCCATTCCAGGCTGGTGGCAGCAGACAGGACGAGATCCAGCCAGCAGGAATCAGGGCTGGGAAAAGAGGGAGCTCCTGCTTTGCCTCTGAACTCCCAAACACTCACTGTTGAAAACCACGTTGTTGTCCTTGAAATCCTTCCACTGCTGGTACCACTTGGAGTCTTTGTGCAGCACCATTCCCATGGCCTCCCTGGAAAGGGCAGGAAACAGGGATGGAACGGGGATTCTTGGGAGAAAAATCAACTTACAACACTGGGAGATTAAAGGGGATAAAGGGGAGGGACATCCCTGCAGTGCTGAGGCTGATACAGAACACGAGAAGACAATGAAAAACCCATCAATTATACACCGGGTAAATTATAAACCCCATAAATCAATTAAACACCCCACCAAGTGACACACCAGCTGAATTATAACCCCATTAATTAATCAGACACCCCATAATTGATGCAGCAGGGAAATAACACAGCACATAAATAAATAATTCTTGACTTGGAGGCTCAAGGCAGCGGGGAAAGCAAAGGAGCTCAGGCTTAGCCCTGCCAAGCCTGATTCCAGACGTTAAAACTGACCACAAAACACGTGCCCAAGTCAAAATTCCATCTCTGACCATCACATTTGGAATTTAAAGTGCCCAGTTTCACTCTGGGGAAGCCTCAGCATCATCAGCTCCTGCTGGGAATGTGCTCTCGGAGCTCCCTGCTCTGCCCCCAACGCCTCCTCCAGCTCCTGGATTTTAATCCCTGCCCTCTAGTTCAGTTTGGAAAGTTTTTGTTCAGTTGGACACAAAAATTTACACCCCAGATGAGCCCAATACCCACTCATTGGCCTCAAATATCCTCTCCTCTTTGATCCTCTCTCCTGAATATTCCGTCCGTTTTCGGAGCCGCTCCGGCCGTTTGTAGGGACCGGTTTGCCCTAAAACACTTTCATCTATTTCCTTCTTGACACTTTCTACTCCCTGGAAAGGAAAAGAAACCCTGTTAGGTCGGATTTGTTGTCCCTTCACCTTCCCCAGAAACTGCCCCTGGAGCTTTCCCTTCTCCAGCCTGGCCTTGGACACTCCCAGGGATGGGGTAGCCACAGCTTCTCAGGGAATTCCATCCCAGTCCCTCCCCACCCTCACAGCCAGGAATTCCTTCCCAATATCCCATCTAAATTCCCTCTCTTTCACTTGGAAGCCATTCCCTGTGTCCTATCCCTCCATCCCTTGCCCCAGTCCCTCTCCAGCTCTCCTGGAGCCCCTTCAGGCCCTGCAAGGAGCTCCAAAGTCTCCCTGGAGCCAAAGTCTCCAAAGTCTCCCTGGAGCCTTCCCTTTTCCAACCCGACCTGGGTGACACCAAAACACACAAACCCTTAGGTATTTCCCACCAAATCCAAGCTTTTGGGCAGCCAGTCGTTCCCAAACCACCAGCAGGTGCCTGCCTAGGGAAGGATTCCCCGCCCTACTCCCCAAACCCACCAACCCCCACTCCCAGGGACACCTTCCAGCGGCTCATCCAGCCCATCCCCAGCTCCTACATTCCCATTTCCAGGGCTTGGATGCCAGTGGATTGTTCACCTGAGAGATGGCTTTGAAGGCTGCTGTCCTGCCCAGCTTCTCCCCTCCTTTTGTGACCGACTCTGCTGATTGTTTGGCCGTTTTCGCTGCTTCTTCCACGCCCTCCTTTATCCTCCGGCCGATGTCGCTTTTGCTGACCTCGTCCAAGCTCTGCCACAGGGGAGGAGACATCACTGCAGCTCCTTGTCCTCATCCCAATCCCTCTCCAGCTCTCCTGGAGCCCCTTTAGGCTCTGGAAGGGGCTCTCAGGTCTCCCTGGAACTTTCCCTTCTCCAGGTGAACCCCCCCAGCTCTCCCAGCCTGGTTGGGGTTGGAAGGGACCCCGGGCAGGGACACTTCCCACTAGACCAGCTTGCTCCAAACCCCTTCCCATCCTCAGCTACTCCAAAATCCCTGCAGCTCACCAGCTGTATCTTTAAAAAAAAAAACAAAAAAAAATGGGAATTTTCCACCTAGAACTGGTTGCTTCGGAGTCACACCCAGAGCAGCTCCGTGGCCTCCCCTGGATTCGCTCCAGCAGCTCCAAATCCTCATTTAGGGATCCCAGAGCTGCTCTCTTTGCCCTGCCAGACCAGCAGCACCATCTCCAGCCTCCAAATCCAAGAGGAATCCCTGGAATGTGCCCGTCCTCTGACCACACATCAATTAAACCACCAAATTAACCCACTCCTGCTGCAATTTTCTTAATTAATCTGCTCCAAAAGACTTGGAATTTTAATCTTTGTCCCCATCAAAAAGAGCTGTTGAACAGGAAAAACTCAAACTCCTGGGGGGGGCAGAAAGGGATTTTTTTAATAGAGCTTTTCCCAATCCGAGGTTTTATTTAATGGATGTGAATTCTGTGGCCCAAAACGTTGTGTGGTTGTTATTTCATACAGGAATATTCTGGAAAACACCTCCAGTGCTCCCTGTGAAATCCAGTGTGATTCCTCCCTGGAAAAGGTCTGGATGGGAGAGATGCCAGAGATGGGATCCGAGGCAGAAATGGGAATTTTAAGGGTTTTAAACATCAAGGACCAGCAAAAAAAAAAAAAAAAAAAAAAAAAAAAAAAAAAAAAAAAAAAAAAAAAAAAAAAAAAAAAAAAAAAAAAAAAAAAAAAAAAAAAAGGCTCCAAAAAAGCTCAGTTTGTTCCTAATTTAGAAAATCAACCCAGCAAGAAAAAAAAAAAAAAGGTGATAATTCAAATTACTCCCACTTAAAGCTGAATTTCCTCAGGGAAAGGTTCCTTTTACCTCTTTAACTGTCCCTGTTATTTCTTCAAGTTTCTTTTTAATCACTTCGGAGGTTTTCACTGTTTCGGATTCGATGGTTTTCTGGGGGGGAAAAAAAAAACAACAACATGATCAAAACTCTCCCCAAAAAGCCCTTTAAAGATGGAATTGAGGGCAAAAAAATTCCTTTTTAGGAGTCCCTCACTTGAGCCACCAGTTCAAGTTTGGTAAATAACGTTTAGAGCTCTCAAAACCAACTATTTAGTGCCACATTTAATGCCAAATTTTATGTCAAATTTAATATTAAATTCAATGCCAGATTTATTTTTGGTGAAGTTTAGTGCCAAATTTAATGTCGAATTTAATATTAAACTTAAAGTTACATTTAATGCCACATTCAATGTCGAATTTAATGCCAAATTTAATGTTAAATTTAATGCAGAATTTAATGTTAAATTTAATGAAGAGTTTAAATTTAATGTCAAATTTAATGTCACGTTTAATATTAAATTTAATGTCACATATAACGTAGAATTCAATGTCAAATTAATTATTAAATATAATGTCAAGTTTAATGCTAAATTAAATGTAAAATTTAATCTTAAATTTAATGCCAAATTTAATACCAAATTCAATATTAACTTTCATGCCAAATTCACCCCCAAAACGTCACGTCCAATCTGAGGGTCCGAAATTCCCCCTGGAATCCCCCCAAATCTCACGTATTTCCTCCGGGCTTCCCGTAGAGCGTCCGACTCTTCCAGCTTTTTGGCCTCATCCCGGAATTTCTGGATGCTTTCCTTCATCTCCTTGTTCTTGGCCAGTTCCTGTTTGATGTTCTCCACGAAGCCAGAGATGAAGCCTTTCCTTCCTCCTGAGGAGTAACGTCTGGACTGGGGGGAAAACCGGGAAAAAAAAATGGGATTTAACGGAAAAAGAGGTAAAATTCCAGAGTGAACGGCGAGGATTTACGGGGAAAAGTGAAATAAAATCATAAAATAAGCAAAAATAGGGAGGTGATAACGGGAATTAACAGGTAAATTAAAAGAATATAACTAAATTAAATAAAATAATAGAATAAAATCGAAAAATAATGAAGTGGGTAAGCAAGTAAATGAAATGATATGGACAAAATAAATGAAATAAAAGAGATAAATAATAAAGCGAATAAACAAGTGAATTAAAGGAATATAAATAAGAATGGATAATAAAATGGAATAAACAAGTAAATGAAAAGAATATAAATAAAAATAGATAATAAAGGGAATAGACAAGTAAATTAAAAGAAAATAAATAACGTTCTCCGGGTCACCTCCACATCCAGCTGGGGATCCCGGCAGGAACCACTCTGGGAATTCCAACCCACCTGGGGGGTGTCCAGCGCGGGGATGCCCATCCTGACCACATTCCTGGGCAAGGCAGCGACGGGAGAACGTCTGGAAAGGAGCCACAGACCACCCAGGAGACACTTCTGCAAGGGAAATACCAGCCAGCTCAGCCAGCATTCCAAGGGCTGGGATTCAGGGATGAGCTGATTCCCAACCCAATCCACCCCAGAGCCCGGAACGCGGCCGAGATGAGAAGCAAATCAGGGTTTTTTTTTTTTTAAGGAAAACTCTTCCCAAATTCAACTTTGGAGGGGAAAAGCCAGGAATTTCTTGGTGGTATTTGGGCCAGGAAGAAACTCTCGGGTCTCAGATGGGAGCAGGAAAGATCTGATGGATCATGGAAAACCATCCCTGCCTCTCCCCAACCCTCCCAGGGAGGAATTCCTGCCCAATATTCCCTTTAAATTTCCCCTCTCTCAGTTTGAAGCCATGGAAGGGGTTTAAAACTCATCTAACCCCACCCCATGGGTAGGGATTTGGGATAAAGGGGGTTTAAACCCATCCAATCCCACTCCTGTAGGGCTGGAATTTGGGATGGAGGGGCTTTTATTGACCCTCCAAGGGCTTTTAAGGACCATCCCATCCCACCGTGTGCCAGGGATGGGCAGTTTGGGATGGAGGGGGTTTAAAACCATCCAATCCCACTTCATGGGCAGGGATTTGGGATGGAAGGGGCTTAAAATCCATCCAATCCTCTCCCTGCAGAGCAGGAATTTGGGATGGAAGGGGTTTAAAACCCACCCAATCCCACCCCATGGGCAGGGATTTGGGATGGAGAGGTTTTCAGGCCCATCCAATCCCACCCCTACAGGGCAGGGATTTGGGATGGAAGGGGCTTTCAGGCCCACGCAATCCCACCCCACGCCCCGAGCAGGGGCAGATCCCTCTCCGGGGCCGCGGGTTCCCCCGTGGGTGACACCGCCGGGGCCCACGGGAGGGGGGTGAGGGCAGGGTGGGTCCCGCGCTGTGCCCTTGCCCTGGGTGCCCCCGGCGTTGCTCCCGCCCCGGTTGTGCCCCGGTTTTTCCCCCCCCCCGTTCCCCCCCGCTCACCCCGCACCCTCCGGCCGCGGCCGCCGCCATCGCCCCGCGCCGCCCGTGACCTTCGCGCGGCGCCGCGCGGTGACGTCACTGCCGCGCGACCGCCGCGGCCACGTGGGCGGGAAGGGACGGAGAGGGGGACAGAGGGACACCCAAAAACACCCCCGGGGGGACAGAGGGACACCCAAAAACACCCCCGGGGGGACAGAGGGACACCCAAAAACACCCCCGCGGGGACAGAGGAACACCCAAAAACACCCCCGGGGGACAGAGGGACACCCAAAAACAGCCCTGGGGGGGACAGAGGGACACCCAGGGACACCCCCCAGGGACAGAGGGACACCCAAAAACACCCCCGAGGGGACAGAGGGACACCCAGGGACATCCCACGAGGGGACAAAGGGACACCCCCAAGAGGACAGAGGGACACGCAGGGCTGAGTTGACTCAGTTGGGATTTCGGCTGCCAGTAAAGTTCTCCGTGCCTGCAATATTTAACTTGCTTTATTATCAAATTCCGACTGTTTACATCTGTCATGTCAACGAGAGATGCCACAAACTACAAAAAAAAAAGAAAAAAAAAAAAAAAAAAAAAAAAAAAAAAAAAAAAAAAAAAAAAAAAAAAAAAAAAAAAAAGATTGTGCCACGTCGCAAGTTCCGATGCAAAAAACCCGGTAAAACGGCGCTTGCTTTATTTTTTTTTGTCACCCGTTAAAAAAAGGACTTAAAATTTATTTACTCCAGAAAAAAAGCAACTGGGGGGTGGTGGTTTGGTTTGGTACATCTTTACATCCAGTCAAAATTCAGATGGTTAACGAGAAAGAGAGAGAGAAATAAAATACAAATCGTAAAATAAAACAAAAAAAAAAAAAAAAAAAAAAAAAAAAAAAAAAAAAAAAAAAAAAAAAAAAAAAAAAAAAAAAAAAAAAAAGGAGAAAAAAAAAATTCAGAAAAAGCCCTGGAGAGATCAAGAGGAGGGAGAAGGGGGTGGGGGAGGGGCTCAGGCGTTGCGGTCGATCCGCACGTCGATCTCGCGGCCGCGCAGCTGGATCCCGTTCATCATCCGGCACGCGCGCTCCGCCACCTCGGGAGACTCGAACCTCACCACCCCACAGCCCTTGGACTTGCCGTTCTCCATCTTGATGTCGGCGTAGAGCACGTGCCCTGAGGGGATGGAGAGGGGTTGGATCAGCTGTAGGGTCGGGATTTGGGAATTGTGGGATCGGGGAGTGGGAAGGGACACGCGAGGTTTGCGCGGGATCAGCCCCCGGAGCGTCACCCACGGGCACCTCCCGCTGTCCCGGGAGGTTCCAACCTGGCCTGGGACACTCCCACAGCTTCTCTGGGAATTCCATACCAGTCCCTCCCCACCCTCCCAGCCAGGAATTCTTTCCCAATATCCCATCTTTCAGTTTGAAGCCATTCCCTGTGTCCTGTCCCCCCACCCCTTGTCCCCAGTTCCTCCTCCAGCTCTCCTGGAGTCCCTTTAGGCCCTGGAAGGGGCTCTCAGGTCTCATCCACAGGATAAACCCAACCCAGACATGGAGAAGGGGACAAAAGCTTTGGAAAAGTATTCCCAGGAGTTTACTTGGTTTAAGAACTGGTCATATATTCCTATTCATTCCTCCCAGAAATTACCAGGGGGAAAAAAAAAAATAAATCACTTACCACATTCATTGAATTTATCTTTCAGCATTTTCCATGTAAAATCAAAAGGCAGCTGTGGAAAAGAGAGGAACAAACCATTACTGAGGCTCTGCTGAACAATCTGCAAGCATTCCCAACTCCCCCAAAATCCCAGGAGGGCCAGTGAGAGAACCACGGAGTGCTGGTCCTCCAGGAGCTCCTCTCCTGGGAAGGGAATTGGCTCCAGCTCCCAAAACTTGGCAGCATCCAAAGGAAAGGCAAGGAAAAAGGCAGGAAGGAGAAAAGGGCGGGAAGGGCAGGGAAAAGGGCAAGGAAAAGGGCAGGAAGGGCAGGGAAAAGGGCAGGACAAGGAAGGCCTCACTCACGTTTCTCACGAAGATCTGACAGGCTTTCCGGGCCACCCCCGCCGCGGGGCCTCCGGTTCCTCCCAGGGGACCGGCGAAGTTGCCGGCGAAGTTTCCTCGCTCCATGTCCATGGGCCTCTCGAAGTTGCTGCCCATGGCCAGTCCCATGCGCTCGATGCCCGCTCCCATGCCCTGCCCCATGGGTGGGCCCATCCTCTCCATGTTGGTGGCTCCGATGCGCTCCAGGCCCATCCTCTCCATGCCGGCGGCTCCCATGCGCTCGATGCCGATCCGCTCCATGGGGGGGGCCCCGATGCGCTCCAGCCCCGCGGGCATCCTCTCCAGGACCTGCCCCATGCCCGCTCCCATGCCGGCGGGCACCATGCGCTCCAGGCCCAGGCCCATCCTCTCCATGCCCGAGCCCATGCGCTCCACGCCCGCGCCCATCCTGTCCATGGCGCCGCCCACGCGGTCGATGGCGGCGCCCATGCGGTCGATGCCGAAGCCTATCCCGGAGCCCATCCGCTCTATCCCGGAGCCCATCCGCTCCATGGCCGGGCCCATCCTCTCCATGTTGGGGGCGATGTGGTCGATGCCCAGCGGGGCCATGCGGTCGATTCCCGAGCCCATCCGCTCCACGTTGGAGCCCATCCGGTCCAGCACCAGCCCCATCCTGTCTATCTCTGAGCCCACTCTCTCCATCCCGTGCCCCATCCCAGCAGGAATCCTCTCTATTCCCGAGCCCATACGATCAATGCCAGGTGCCATCCTCTCAATCCCAGGAATGCTGGCGTTTCCACCACCTGGAACACAACACAGAGGCGATCAGGAATCATTCACGGACAAAAAAAAAAGCCTCACCACCTCCTCAGATTCCTGAAATAATTTCTCCCTGCTTGGAGCAGGGATTCTGGCTGCTCTGGGCCTGCAGGATATGAGGCCAAGTGATTCTGGATGCTCAGGTGAGACCCCACCTGCAGAGCTGCCTCCAGCTCCGGGATCCCAAAACAAGGACGTGGAGCTGTTGGAGCAAATCCAGAGGAAGCTCCGGAGCTGCTCCAAGGGCTGGAGCCCCCCCTGCTCTGGGAACAGGCTGGGAGAGCTGAGGGGGTTCACCTGGAGAAGGGAAAGCTCCAGGGAGACCTGAGAGCCCCTTCCAGGTCATAAAATGGAGTCTGAAACTCCATTTCCCAATGTGTTTCCATCTGCCTCCTGTTTGGTTCTGACCAAACTCCTCCAGCAAATATATGTAAAATGTAACATAAAACAGATTATTTTAACCCACTCATGATTTTTATGTGCAGCAAATTGATTTCATGTACTCACCTATCCCTCTCTCCAAGGTCTCTCCAAAACTTCGGGACATTCCCATTTCATTTCTTCCAAACTCTCTTTCAAATCCTCCCCCCATGGCACGATCCATCTCTGGAAAGGTGGAATTGGGAAGTTCAGGGAGTGTAAAGGATACAGTTGGGAAGTTCAGGGGGTTTTAAAGATGGGGTTGGGAAGTTCAGGGGGTCTCAAAGGCTCCTGAGAGAACATTTCAACACAAGAATAATTTTTAAAGATTCCCAGTAAGGGAGCATTTTGTGGTGTCTTCACGAGTGCAAAACCCCAAGGAAGAGCAGGACTCATCCCAAATATATGTGAGGCTCTGGAAAAGCCTTTCTGGTGAGCACAGAATCGGGTTGGACACACAGAACCCCAATGCCTACCAGCCATCCTGCCCATGTTCATCCCAGCTGGGAAGCGCCCGATGTTTTCCATGGCACCGAAGGGACCTTCCATTCCTATTAAAAAAAAATAAAAAACAACAACAAAAAAAGAGATTTTCCAGGGATTCTTTAGCAAAGCATTTCAACTCCACGCTGCAGAGATGAGACTACTCTGTGTCCCTGATTCCCAGAGCAGAATTTGGACAAGTCACTCTAAAATCAGGGAATTACAGACGGGGTTGGGTCAGGAGGGACCTTCAGGATTATCCAACCCCCCAGGGATGTCATTCCCCAGATCTCCCAAACTCAGGAGGCTCCTGGTTGTGTTTTAGGGGATTATCAACCATTCCCACACACCTTTTACACTCAGAAAAAAAACCAAATTTATCAAATTATTCCTAAATTGGTGATGATTTCCCAGCACCCAAATCCCTGCCAGACACACACACATAAAAAGTTACAAAAACACATCAAAAAGAAACCCCCAAAAAATCCAAACCACAGCTTACCTCCCATTTTATTCATTCCAAAGCCCATGCCTTCCATTCCCATGCCTCAAAATAAAAGAGAAAGTTTTTATATAGCCGATGCCACTCTACAAATTCCAGCCATCAGATTGAAAAGCAAGAAAAAAAAAAACCCAACAAAAACACCAACACGACACATCCAATGTTTTTTTTTGGATTGAAGAGCTTACATGGGATAAATTCTGAGGAGATTCCAACATTCCTTGTCAGGGAAAACAAATTAAAAAAATTCAATAATAAAAAAATCAAGCAGCAAAGGGAAAAAAAACCCCAAACCCCAAACAAAACACCCCATTGGAATTTAGAAACTGGAAAGCTGAATGTGTGCTACTGGTTTTTTTAGATTGTTTTTTTTTTTTGTATTAAGGTGGCTCTTTTGAAACTTGTGCTGTGATTTCACCAGATCCTACGGGAAGATTTGCAAAAAAAAGAAAAAAAAAAAGCCCACACTGGTTGAGTGTTTGGAAGGAGTTGACAGGTGGTGGTTCTCAAAAGCCTTGTGGAATATTTAATATTTGCAGTGTCTGCTGCTCGTGCTCAAGAGTCAGGAAATGAGAGCTCTCTGTGTGTGTTGACCCCAGTGGCTTAAAAAAAAATTTATATTTATATAAAAAAATAAAAAAAAAATAATAAAAAAAATATGGTTAAATTCAAATTTCCATGATCAAAGCTCGAGAAAAAACTCTGTTGGCTTTAACATTCCTAAGGTAATTCCAGCTTTTTTTTTTTTTTTTTATTATTATTATTATTTTTAATTCAAATTTTTTTTTTTTTTGTGGGGGGGAGGCAAAACAAAGCTAGCTACCTTCTACACAGCTTAAAGCTCTCATGAAACAAAAGCATAGGAGTAATCTTCTTACCTCCAGGTCCCATGTTGCCCATTCCCATGCCTTTGTTTAAATGATTTGCATCAATAGGTTGACCTCCAGGTCCTAATCCCATGCCAATACCACCAAGACCATCTGAAGAAAATATTCAGATATCAAAAAAGCCTTCTTTCCATAGTTTGACAAGACAGCAAGTTTTACTTTTTAAGTCAGTGAAACTTTTTTTTTTTCATTCTCCAAAAAATAAAAATATATATATATATTAAAAAAATAATGATAATAGTAATAATAATAATAATAAAAAAAGAAAGCTTGCTGTGTCCCCCCCTTTTGGGGTGTGCACTTAAAGCCTGTGAGTGGGGAGGAAATGGAGAGTGGGTGTGTGTTGAAACAGGTTCAAAACTATCTGAAATGAGAGGTTTTGGATCCTCCATTTTCCACCTGACTGGTTGGAAGCTGACTCCTGAAAAAAAAAAACCAGCTGGCTAGAACACTGCTTTGGTTTTGGTGCAAACTCCTCGAGCTAAAGGAGGGTGGAGAGTGGGCAAATTTGGGATGAAAGGGTTTGCTAAAACCCTTGGATGGGCAAATGGGTTCCTTTCCCACCCTTTGGCAGGGAAGGATTGAACCAATAAAAAATAAAAAATAAAAGGAAAGCTCTGGTTCTGACAGCCACCTCTGGAATTCTGAGCACACAGCCAGCCTCTTCCCCTCAGCAAACAAAACATGGCAGGAATTTTCCACCTTCCAACCCAATTCCCAAAGGATTCCCCGGCCCCCAAAAGAAAGAAGGAAAAGCCCCCCCCCTTTTTGTCCTGAATCGGGCAGAAAGTTCTCTGCTTGCACTTGCAAATCAAAATTAACAGCTCAAGTGGCATCCTTGGCCTGAGAGGATTCCCTGGTTTCCAGCAGAAACGCGGGAAGGGTTTGAATCTTGTTTTAAAAACGACACAGGGTCCCCATTCCCTGCCCCAGTAAAGGCCAAAAAAACCCCAAAAACAGGTTTCCAGTGGGATTTGGTGGGTTTTTTTTAGGATAATTCAGTTGGAATCCAATGGCTTTTTCTTGGAGAAGAGGAATATTGTTAAGAGTGAAAACCACGTGGTTTTTTTTTTTTAATGTTGCTGATTAAAGGCAGACACAGGAACTGCACTAATTAAGGGATGGATTGATTGAGGATCCCTAAAAGTGGGCAATTTAGCAGCACACAACAGGTGTGGTCCCCAGGAGGGATTAAACAGAACTGGCTGAATTCTTGGAATTGCAGAATCCCAGACTGGTTTGGGCTGGAAGGATCTTAAAACCCATCCAGTTCCATGGCAGGGACACCTTCCACCAGAGCAGGTCGCTCAGAGGGATTAAAATTCCACTCCCAGCCCCAATTTTGCTGCATTTAAACAAATTCAGCCCGGTGTTCTCCCTTTTCCAGCTCTCCCTCGTCGATAATTCCATTTTATCCCAGCACAGCTGAGTTTGGAAGGGACCTTTGGAGATGCTCACCCCAGATCACATCCAGGGATTTGGGGTATTTCCAAGGATACAAACTCCACAGGTTCTCTGGGCAGCCCAGGCAACCTCACAGTAACATTTCCTTACATTTAGATGGAGTCTCTGGTTTTCTGCTTTTGTTTCAGACTTGGAATCTTGTAATTAATTCCAAGTTGGAAGGAGCAGTTTGGGACCACTGGTTATTTTGAATTTCCAGTCTCCTGTGTTTTGGTCTCTTTGCCTCTTGCACCTCCAAAAAGAGCCAGGTTCCTTATCCTTTCCATATTTAAATCCATTGCTAAGACCCCCACCTTGAGCAATTTGAAGGCCTGGAAAGTTGGTCAGGGAGAATTCAGATCCCCAGCACATCAAAGGAGGTGCAGGCTCTTCCCTGCCACCCGATTGATGATGTTTCCAATCAATCCCCCCACAAACAGGAGTTTTAGAAGGGCACTGGGATTTGAAATGAGGATCTGGAAGCCTTGAGAGGGTGAATGGGATACTGTTTTTAAGAGCTGAAAGAAGCATCCAAAAATAATGTGAGCAGCTCTTCTTCACTATCCCCCCCCCCCTTTGATGGAGCTGAGGTTGTTTGGATCCCAGTTTTGCAGTTCCAATCAGGGCCTTACTGGGGCTGGGATCAGGTCCCAGTTGGCAAAGAAAAAGCAAGAAGATGTTGGATCATGCAGGAAACACTTACGAGGGAGTTGTTGGGGTCTCTCCGGAGGGAAGAAATCTCCTTTGGGAAAGGCTCGTTCGTCCTAAACACAAACCAGCAGGTTAAAGTTGGGCAAGAAGAGCAAGGAATTCTTCCCTGTTCTTTAAAGTTATAAATTAAACCACAGGAATTCAAAAGCTTAGGCAATCCTCACTGGATTTTTTTAATAATAAAATAATCAGAATTCTTTATTAAGATCACAGGGGATTGGGTAAACCACACGTTTCCTCAACCTGAATTTTGATCCAAGCTTTAAAGCACACTTTTCCCCCCAGATCAGTTTAAAAAGCAGGAAGAAAGGGAATGGACTCACCATTTTGACGTGCATGGGTCTGTCAAAGAGCAGCTGCCCATTGAACATTGCTGGGGGGTCGTTAAGGATCATTGTTCCACTCTGAACCAAAAACCCCCTCAAGAAAACCACATTCCCTAAATTACAGATCCCAGATCAGCCAAAATCTTGCATTCTCCAAACCTTAAAAAAAAAAACTCCTTTGAAACCCAAATATACTGAGTTTGAATATTCAAATGGCTTTCTGCAATTAAAAAAATGAGTTGAAAACTAAGGTGAAGCTCTTTAGGAGATCATCCCAAACGGGACTCCAAACAAGTCAGGAACTTTATCCATTTAAAATAGGAGAGAACAGGGGAAAGTTCTCCACATTTCCAATCAATCCCCACCTCTTAAAGGGTGAATCACTTGTTCAAGTCTTGCTCCAAGGGCACGTGCAGGAGGAAACTAACATTCCAACAAACTCTGGGAGGGGAAAGTGGGAATATTTCCTTCCTTTCCATGCCGGAACTACCAGCTGAGAGGTCACACACACAGGGAAATGTCTGTAATCTGATTGTTGTTTGGGTTTTCGGAGGGTTTCACTTGGCAAATCATTGTTTGGGCAGTGGAAGGACACAGGGAAGGGAGGGACACACCGGGTCAAACCCACGGACAACGTGGATCAAAGCCCATGGGAATGAATCCACAGGTAGATGGATTTGTTGTCCACTCATCCTTTACCTCCAGCACGGGAATTCCTGGCAAACCTTTCCCCAGGGTTATATTTTAATACAAATTTCCACATGGGAAGGAGAATCCCCTTTGCTGACAATCCTGAGCCACGATTCCTACAATTCCCAGGGTTTTCCAAGGATACAGATGGCCTGCACGGCCTCGATGGCCTGTTCGAAGGTGACGGTGCCGATCCCGCGGCTCTTCCCATCCTTGTCCTCCAGGATGTCAGCCCGGACCACCACCCCGGCCATGCTGAACACCTCCTTCAGCTTCTTCCAGCCAACCTTGTAATCCAGCTGGGAAATGAGGGGAATCAGGGATTAGGAGAGATTTCCAGGGAAAAACAACGTTAGCAAATCATCTGTCCTTCCGTGAGGGAAGAGCGTTCACAGGGAGGGGAGGGAATGGGAGGGAGCGCAAAGGGCAGAGTTTTGTCCAAGAATTCAGATGAACAGACACTGGTCTATGGATGCAGCTTAATTTACAACTCCCTTAGCACAGGGAACCAACGAGACACAGGTTAAGTTGCTGCTCTAAATCCAAGTTAACAGACACTGTGACATGTAGGTGTCCCTTAATTCATAACTTCCTTGGCACAGGCAACCAACAAGACACAGATTAAGTTGCTACTCTGCTCAAAAATCCAAGATTTTTGTAATTTAATTTCTAATTTAGGCCCTCCCCAGCACAGAGACTCAAGGAGACAATCACAGATGGAGCCAAGTGAGGCAGACCAAGCCCCTCCTTGGTGTTCCCACAGCTCCAGGCGTTCCCAATTTCACTTACATTGGCCACGAAGACGGTGCTTCCCAATCTCCCTGCCTGCAGGGCGTGGATGATCTCGTTGGGAATGTTGGGGTTGTTCAGGATGCTGGGGGGGATGTTGATCATGCCGGGGCCGCCGGGGCCGGGCCCGATTCCCATCCCTCCAGCTGCTGCCATCACCTTCTGCATCGCCCTCCTGGCGTGCTCCCCGTCGGGATCCTGCAGGGAAACACACCCTCAGCATCCCAAAATCCACGGGAAGGGGCTGTGGGAAGGGATTCCCAACAGAAACAACCCAGCATTCACCTAAAACGCCCTTTTTGTGCCCCACTGTTTCAGGCTGAGAATGTTGTTCTCGCCTTCCCTTCTCTCCTTCCAGGAGCCTCTTGAACCCTCACCCAAGGATGATATTCCCTGAATCCCGAATTGTTGTGCCACCTGTGCCACGGTGGCAGCAAAGATTGGGCCTGAGGCAGCGAAAAGCCAGGCCTGAGGTTTAGTGGGTGGTTTTCACCTGCTTACAAATGCACTTTTAAACTCAACAAATCAAGTTTAAACTCAAGTCCAGCAGTGGTTCGCCAGGTAAAACACAAACTGACTGATGGTTTTTTTTTTTTTTTTGGAATTCTAGCTGTAAAATCCTACTTTTGGTCACTCATTCCTGAGCCAGGACCCCCCCCTTCCCCGCTGCAGCTCTCACCTCTTTCACTTTGAGGGGTCTCCCTCCGAGGCTGTGCTTGTTGAGGACCTCGGCCGCCTTCTTCATGCTCTCCTCCATCTTGAACTCCACCACCCTGAGGGGACACGGAGCCTCAGGGGAGGGTTTGGATATCAAAATGTACGGATTCACCTCACAAAACATACGGATTCACCTCATTAAACATACGGATTCACCTCACAAAACATACGGATTCACCTCAGAGAGAGGGGAAGGGCGAGCTCAGAAATGCAGATGGGTAAAAAAAGGGACTTGTGCACGTTAACATATGGCAGGTAGAAAGTGTACACATATCAAGAGATATATTTATTTTTAAAAATGAACTTGTGCACGTATTAAAATATACGTATATATAAAGCGTACACAAATGTATATTTTTATTTTTAAAAATGAACTTGTGCACATACTAAAACATGGGTGCATAAAGTGTAGACTTGTAATAATAAATAAAATAACATAAACAGAAAAATATATGTTTCTTAAAAATGAGCTCGTGCACGTATTAAAATATAAGGAGCAACATCATAGAGAAAGTGTGAACATATAAACATCTATTTCTTGAAAATAAACTGGTGCACATATTAGAATATATGGATTCATGTAATGTATAAAATGTGGGCATATTTTTATTTCTAAAAAATGAACTTGGGCACGTATTAATATATGGATGCATATGATATATAAAGTATGGACATATAAATATATATTTATTTCTAAAAAATGAACTTATGCACATATTAATGCACGTAATATATTAAGTGCAGACATATAAATACATGTATTTCTTTCTAAAAAATGAACTTTTGCATTCTATCTCCCCACAGTACCATCCATATCTACTTGGATTTTGTGGTGCAATCCTCAGTCTGTTCCACTTAGAACTTTGATTTAACTGAGGGCAAGGCTCAACTTTATATTCAATCTGAAGGACTAAAACTTGATTTAATAAGTAAAGACTAAAACTTAGGGAGGGGGGATTTGAAGAGAAGCAGAAAACCCCCCAAAAAATGAACTTACGCGCATCCCTGAGGAGCAGATCCCACAGGTCAGGGCCAGGGAGGAGAGGAGGGAAGAAAACAGAGACACAAGTCAGCAAAAACCCCCCAAACACCCCCCAAAAACCTATTCCTTTCCGAGTCAAACCACATGAGCTGGCCCCTGCCAGCGAGAATAAAAATGGAGCCTCAACACAATAAAACCTCCGAGACTTCCACTCCCTAAAAATTTCCGCCAGAGGGTTAAAAAAAATCTGGGATTTCTCTCAGCCCGAATTCTCCTCCGAGAAAAATAAAACCACGCGCTCCACGTGACCTGCACACCAAAACCCTACGTATCCATAGCCTCCAGGACGCTCCCAGTTTTCTCCTTCCCTGCTGGAATTCTGGGCTTACGAGAGGGGGGGGGTTTGACCTCGCTCTGCTGGCCCAGCCACGTGTGGAATTTTACCACTTTCCCGCTTTTCCAAATGCAGCCAAAACCGCTCGAGTTTTCCAAGCCACGGAGAGAAAATATTCCCGCTCGCTCTCTCTCTCCTAATCCACCTGCCACTGGGCTCCAGGGGGAAGGAGGACGGGGTGGGGGGGGGGAAAAAAGGGGGGAAAAAAAAAGAGGGGGAAAATCC